GCACTATACCACTACTAAGTAAATATACAGTAGTCGGGTCTTGAGAACACTATAGAAAATAGAACATATACTACAATATACATTATATATGATTACCCTTTCTCTCCATAAAGAGTCGTGGGATTGGCTGGCTTGGAAGAGTTGTTGCTGAGATTGGTTGATTAGCATCAGCTGTCCTATCTTCTGTCACTATATCCTCTGCTGATACTAGGAACTCAATTGTTGACATGCCTGTAACAAAAACAAAAAAAAGTGAAATGAAATAAAATATTTTTAAATTTGCACTTCTAATTATCAATATATATCGTTGAAAAATCTCATTTAAACAGTTGTTCGTTTGACAGTTTTTAATGAGAATAATTAATCAAGTAAGCTGAATATTAATGGCCTCTTGATGATCTATATAATTCTATTGTTTAATCAGATCACAGTCTCCATTTGTTCTCCATGCTTTATTATATGTGGCAAAGACAAGCCAAACCAGGCATTTATCGCCAAAAAATGAATTTTTAGCTTAAATATTGGGTTGAACAAAAAAATGTAAGTTATAAAATGGTAAAAAAAATTGTTTAAATTCATCATTTGGAAGCTACAAGAGTACCATACAGGTGTTTAGAGAACAGTATTTGAGAAATTAGCTTTCTCAGACAGAGGTGTGTGGTAAGTTAATTACGTTGATAACCTTCAGAGGCTTCATCATCAGCTATTGTCGGTCCACTGCTGGTCAAATGTCTCAGGATGTCGACGCCAAATCAATCTTTCTTTCTTGCTGTTTTGCACCATTTCACTCTTCCCCAATAAATATCGATCTCATCTCTTAATCTTTTACGTTGTTTTCCCTTGTTCGCTTTGCCATCCACAGCGCCTGTTACTGTTTTTTTAATTTTTTCTTTTAAGAGGCTTAATGCTTAACTACAATTTATTTATATGCCATGAAAATGCTTGCAACTATGGCTGAAACATAGCCTTAGCCACTTGACAGCCTGTCAACAATGCAATTTGGGGTATCTATACATGGCCGCCCGAGATTGGACATACCCTGGCTCCACTACTTGGCTAGTAGTAGGCCCTAGGTTGTGTCGTCATTTTCTGTGGTTATTTTTTATGGGATTTTCAATGCATATGCCTACGTACGTAGGCAGGACGATAGAGCCTAATTAGTTACAATTCCCCCTGATGAAAACTGATGAACTGTCTAAAGAAAGCCAAAATAGACGCTTTCGACCTGCTCGAGTTCTCATTATTTTCCATCCATAACCTGACCGCTTCAGCTGAATTGCACATGCTCAATTGTTGCATATAAAATTCAATCGTTTCTATTTCATACCCTCTTTGCAGCTGTTGCTTGGTTCCTCAGACAATTTTTTGGTAATCATACACTCTTCGCAGCCACTATTTGGTTCATGAGACGTGTTTTTGCTGGACATGGCTCAATAATGTCACTTACTCAATGCACATGCTCACTGGCTGTCTAGCATTTCCAAGCGCATGCTCATTGTGTTTTTATAGGTAATTCACAGACATTATTTGGTAACTGCGCATGCGCATTGCCTAGTTCGGAATTCCAATTTCTTCGTAGTAAAAGCTACCACTACTACAGTTTCTTAATGACTGTTTCCTCTCGATCGTTACAGCCTAAAGGTGCGGCGCGAAAAATAGTGTTTTAACATCGAAAATAGGGAAAATAACAACATAGCATACTGTAGTTTAGTTTAGTGCAATAAAATAGATTTAGAAAATGTTGACATTCCAACATGTTTTCACTATTTACATTTGCAAGAAGTGACTGTTTGACTTGTCTTTGCCCCATATGCTTGTATGTCAAACTTCAATGTTTTTAAATAAGACTTTCCTTGAATGGTTTTAGAGAAATCTGATTGTATAAATTATGTCTCCTCAAGTCTGTCAGATAATGCCCTCCTGCTTTAGAACATTTTAATTAAATATTATGTATTGTGCCAATAAATAATAATTTAACATGATTAAAATAAAATTGCTATGACCGAGAGTTGCTGAATTGCAAAATTCACAGTTGCTTGGAATCAAATTTATAAGGCAAATACAAATTCAACTTTGGAATTTGTGGGGTTTCGATATTCTGTTAAGTAATTATAATCCAAAATGTCTGCCATCTATAATCTTTCATACCTTCTCCATCAGCTAAATAATCATCTTCACCAGAGCCAGGTAACCTACATAAACAGAGGTTGGAACACAAAAAAAAAATCATTCCTAATTATAAACTACTCTAATTAATCATTTCTTAAATCAGAAAATTTATCTCGATAAATTGCAGGGTATTATGATAGTAAACAAGAGATTTCTAACTGCTAGCCTTTTAGTTGGAATTACTGTCCATTATTAGGTATAATAATTCAAACATGGTACTATTTATACTACACATACATTCTCAAAAGTCCATTTCAATGATTTAGAAAACACAATCGAGTATAATATGCCAATACTGTAGATAATATCGATAATGAAACTGGTACTAAATTACAGGAAATGGAAAAAGAAAACAATTAATTATTTTCGAATACAAGAACATACAAGATACAGAGTTCAACACTTTCGAACAGCATCAATCAAAAGATTCTAACTAATGATTTTGTCCATGAATATATCACATATCATATCATATCATTATTTCGTCTTCAATTCAACACAAGACAGACATTTTTAAGACAGCCGAGAATGTACTGAATATAGAATTTGTTATTTTCTGTAATAATGAGTAATTTAGACCAGGATTTAAATTTGCCATAGTAATAAAAAAAATCCTAAAATTATTATAAAGCCGTTTTGAATTTAATGTTTTAATAAATTTTCTAAAGTTTTACTACAAATATTATATCGTTATAACAAAATACACTATTCACTTACTTTGGAGTTTTCTTTCGTTTTGGTTTTCCTACTCGTCCACCAGCTTGCCTTCCATGCGGCGTTATTGCTTCTTCATCTGCACTTTCTTTTTTAACATTAAAAAGCATTGCATAATAGACATATGTGAAACAAATACTAGAGTCATAATCCCTATATAATACTTTGATTATGATGCAATCTAAGGCATTTATGATCACTGTGAAATACATACAACTAGAAAACACTCATATTAGCAGTTTGAAATGCACTAAATTGTAAAACAGAAGAATATTAACCTGTTTTTTGATGGTCATTGCTCAGTTTTGGATACATTTAATAAATTTTGTGATGACACAATCTTAAATTTGAATGTTTCCAAAACAAAGGAAATGATTATTGATTTCCGGCGAAAAAGACACAGTCCTGGGGTCACACCCTTAAATAACAAACCAGTTGAGATTGTTAACTCCTATAAGTACCTTGGTATCATATTTGAGGACAGTCTCAGCTGGTTCTTTTATATGTTGGTACAGTATTATAATTTAAACCTCAAAGATAGATACAGAAAATAGTAAATTCATGCTCAAAAATAATAGGAAGTCTATTACACAGTCTCTCGTCCGTCTGTGACAAACAAATTTTAAGTAAATGTAAACATATTTTAGAAACAAGAGAACATGCCCTTTTTTTGAGTTTTAACTCCTACCACATCGGAGTCATGTATGTGTAGGACTAAACGGAAATTAAATTCCTTTGTCATAACTGGTATAAGGCTATTTTAAATAAAAGTAGATAGAAATAGCTTTGTTGATTTACATGTTATAAATGGGTTTCTTAGTAGATTTTTAGTTTTTTATGCTGTAGTTATTCAGTCTTGTTTAAAATTACCCCACATGAGATAAATAAAAAAAATTTGAATTGAATTAAATATGAATTTACACTACAATATTATCAGTAACTGATTACAATGCATTCTATAGAATTCAGTCAAATTCAGTGTACACTGGCAGACATAACATTCTAGTTTGTTTCATATTTATATTTTATCATGATTTTATCCACATTTTTATATTTTTATTTATATGCCCTGAAACTTATATGTTTACACTATGAAATGAAATTAAACGTGGTCTATGTTCATGACTATATTTACACTTGTGCATGCAAATTCTAGCTCATGAATATGCAATTAATGCTACAAAAATACCTTAATAGACTCAAAAGTTAATCAGCCCATTGTTTTTTGAAGAGCAAAAAAATAAAAATTTACCATTTAGTAATACAGAAAAGTTAACATATTTGATTATTTGATAGAATTTATGTACTTTATGCAAGACATCTCCAGTAACGTTTGGAATTCATGACTTCGTAAGTCAAGTTCACGACTTTGCTAAACACTGGAAATACCTTCCACAAATTACGACATCCTCATCAACGAGACAGAATTATTACCCTTTATTGCTGGTTGAAAAATGTTCATTTAGGCTAGATTTGGCATTTAAGTTAGTGGTCATTAAATCTCATCATTTGGGATGCTTGGCATTTGCAATCCCTACAAAATATTGCTACTTAAAATATTTATAAAGAGCCACCAGCAATCTATATTTCTTAGTTCTTACAATAAATTTAACTCACCAATCAAAAGAAAAATCTATGTTTTTTTTTCATACACAAACTGACTTTAACTTTACAATTCTGAGAAGGTAGAATTATCACCGAAATATTGCCAATATAGGTCTTACCAATGAGCTTGGATCTTGGACGGCGTCTTTTCTTCGCTGAGCTTTTTTGAACATCAGTTGAGGCTAATCCATCATCACTAACTGACCTCTGTATACGTTGTAATCGTGCTGAACTGTCTACAATATAGAAAAAAGACCTATTTGTGGAATCCTACATAGTTTAGAGGTAAAAGTCATATGCAATGATTCTTTACTAATAAAAATGTTACTTACAGAGTAATACAACATGTTTGTGTGATAATTTAGAACATACTTATCTCCCAACTACTGATTGGTAATGGTAATTATGAAACAAATCTCATTTTATATTTAAACATAAATGCTGATTGTTGAATGAAAATAACGCAAAACAATGTGCCTTTTCTTTTCCAGCCCCCTTCACTTGGAATTCCTTGCTACTTTCAGGTCGCAATTCATCTAAATTGCTTTCTTTTACGAAAAATCTTAAAACCTATTACAGGAATGTTAATCTGCTTTATTTCCTCACTTAGCGCCTTTGATAAATTGTTAATTGGTGCTATATTTGTTACTATTATTATTAGACAATGTTGAATTTTGAATGTAGAGTTAACTATTAAACAATGTGATGATAATTTAATGAGAAATAAATAGAGAAACAGTAAAGTATTTATTGCCACAATTAGATGATAAATGCAGTAATAAAGGATATTTTGAAGCAATTATAAAACCATTAAAGTAGCATAATGTAGTGTAGTTGTTATGCTGCGCCTACCTCGTTTGCGTCTGGCAGCTCCGTTTGAAATCTTTGAAGAGTTCATTGGAGCATCGTCCTCCATGTTCTCCCCATCACCGCTGTCGGGGTCGAAGCCAGAAGTGGGTCGTTTCTTTTTGCGTGCCCGTTTCTTTCCGTCAGTGACATCTGTACTCTGGTTACCTTGTTCCTCTGATAGGGTTGTTGCATTTCTGTTTATGCCAGATTGCTGCGAATCGCTGGCATCTACTAAAAATTAAAATGAAAAAAATGAGGATAAAAATTCCATCATCCAATGATGATGTATATAAATATAAACATTGGAACTAAGCTGTGACTTTATAGTTATAATTAGGAAGAAATATACATACCTTATTTTTGGAGATTTCAAGGCAGTGGAAATGTATTAAAAATAAATAAAAACTATTATTTTCTTCTGAAATTTCTATTTTTTCATGGCGGCGGGTGTGCTAATTGACCAAAATTTAATTTTTATTTGAAATCCTCATTATTGGCAGGCGGGGGTCGCTAAACAAGGTATAAAAAAAGTCTGGCCTAAATTTGAATAAATTGCTGAATAAATTTTGAGAATTAAACATTATGAATTACATGTAAAATATGTAAAGTTAAATATAGTCATAGAACCAATGAATGAATCAAGTGCTAATTAATTAACTGTCACAGAACAAGAATCTGTGACCTAGATAACAAGATACAATATAATCCTCAAATTAGTTTATTTGTGTCTTACAACTGCGCACAATTTAAGATTGAATAAGCCAAGGCATCAATACGCCTCAATTAATAGCCAGCAAATTATGCCAAATAAGCATAGACACAACGAAGGGCATTAAGAATCGAGGTTAAAGAAAAGAATAACTCAGTCACAAAATATCATTTCATTCTGCATGTCCTTATTATCATCTTAAAGGTATATTCAATATGCTATATAATAGTTACTTCCTTTGTATTTAAATACGTTATTGGCTTCAAGTTGAAAATCAGAATAAGAAAACATTTTCGTTACCATGTGATGGACTTTAGTTTTCATCTTGTAATACCCATAATGAATCTATATTCCCATCCACAAAATGAATTACATTTTTATAAAGCATGTAACAATCATATTACATGATTACATCGCAGCATCACATTTACTTCTTTTTTTTTACAGGGGTACTGTAGCATCTAATACAGTTTTTTACTTTTTACCAATACAATTTTTAGTATTCACCAATACAATTTTATTTTTTACTCCACCTATTTCAACATTCCGCAAACTGTGCGTTGCGATCCACCAGTCCATCACCAAAATATTTTGACAGATCTTACCCTAATCAGCTAGCTCTGTTTTGTCCCTTAATATATTATTGCAATTATGAAACATGTAATTTTCACAATTACACCATCAATCTGCATACTTTGTTGTTCATTTGCCATTACTGTATACAAGAAAGTACAATATACGCTAGCTATTTTAACAATTTTGTTGTAATATTTATAATTTTTTTTTGCATTGTTTTCATGTTAACCTAAATTTTAAAATCCCAGTACTGAAACTAGACTTGTTCTCTAAATTAGGCATCTGATGATAAGGGTCAGTGGATCATTTGGTCATCACAGTTACCCAGTAGAGTCTAGCAAGGTTTGCTTGCTTGTTTATCTGTTTTCCACAACACGCAATTCCTTCATAGAGGGCGATAGCTAGATTAATGTCACTATTAAACGAATGCGTTTTCATATCTTATGAGGGATGAGGGGGTGCACTTCCATGAGACAACCAAACGCAACAGACACACTTTATGACGATGGCGACTTCCATTACTAGGGTACTTAGGCTCTCTTTTCTTTCTATACTCTTTGGATTTGTAAAAACTTTTTCTACCATCAGACATTCTTAAAAAATATCAATTCCAATAATGAATGTTTCAACATAGTATTCTTTATGAACACAAAATGGTATATCAAGTACACAGGCATAAGGGCAGCCTTATTACCTAACCTCTCAGTATTTTTATATTGACCAATAAAATATTTCTTTTATATTCTGCTCTACCTTTTGCTTTTTTTGGCAGAACCACTTTGCCAAAGTGGGATTTAGGATGTTTAAAAATTAGGTTTGCTAGACAAGGTATAAAAAAGGTTTCACCCGGAAGCTTTAAGCATGCTGAAAAATTGGAAGATAATTTTATAAATCTCCTGTCATGTCATCTTAGCGTACAATCAATGCATACATCAGGTAAATAAGAAACTTAAATAACATGTGCTATGAATAAGGTCATTACAATGCTTAATGTCGACATGAAGGCTGATATTTGTATCCCTCAAAATACCAAGTTCATTTCCAGACCTTTATTTACATTCCCTGTATTCATAATGATGCAGGAACACCAACGCATACCTGAATTGAATAGTAACGACGCATCTCAACACTGATGACGTTTAATACAACTAATGCGTAGTACATTACAGTAGGGCTTCAGGTCAGCCTCACAGGAGGATCAAACGATCATTAGATCAAGAGAGTAAATAAATATCTTTCATTTGTAGTTTAAAGTGAATACTAAAAAGTAATTTTAGTGATAACCATGTGCATGCATAGTCTACACGTAATTCTGCAAAGCGAATAATACATGAGGAATACTTTCATTCACAATAAAAGAAATGAGAATATTAGCAAGTGTTCAAAATTGTAAGAGGACATAAAGAGACTATGTACATTCAATTTACTACAGTAATTTCCTGGAGAATTTGATGGCTTTATGTCCTGAATATACTGATAAAAAAACTCAGTAAAATAAGATGTAACTTTATGTTGTAATAAAAATCAAAAATATGAATCTACCATCTACAACCATCCCTTAACAAATGTAATATTGTTGATATAAGCACATGCTTATTAGGCAAGACAGTTTAAATACTTGTTTCATGAATCCACCACCTGCTGATAACAATTATTAGAAATAAACTTAAATTTTTGGCCTGTTAACGGACATGCTGTCCAGTAGAAAATTGAAAATTTGTATGCGGTGATGATAAAATGTAAATTTTTTTTCTTCAGAATGAAAACAAATATAAAGTTCAATTACTGAACCGTTTAAATTGTCCCATTACATTTCTTACACATCAGGATTACAAATTGAGCGAAAACCTACAGCAAGAGCACCCTCAATTACTTTCTATAACAAGTACAGTACTTGTATTTTCTTTATTCTTTAATCAAATTATATTACCATTTACTCATCCTCATAGATGCTTTTGGTAGAACCATTTTGCTAAATAACAATTTAAACTTTTCATTATACCTTAATTCCTCGGGTAATAAGCCCACCTCTGGTATAAGTCTACCTAAGGCATAAGCCTACCTGCCTCCTACTTTATGCCCAATTTTATGTTCTAGTTTTTCCTTAGAGTGAAGTTTACAAACCAAATTTTGTGATCAACAAGTGTGGGGGTGGACTTATACCAGAGGAATTAATATGATATGTATTTTATTCACCCTCCTCTGAAGATCCTTCTAAAATAAAGCCAAGGTATAAAAAAAGTGTTTTGCTTTATGCATGTTAAATCATTGACATGTTGTCTTGTGCATGTAGTGTATACCATCGAGCAAGATCACAAACAACTACTTTCTATAATCAAATAATGCTCAATAACTTTCTTGGATTTGAACAACAGGACTGTAGGGATTATGGCAAAAAGCTCTCAGCATCATTTAATACTAGCTTATCTGATAGCATAACAACAAAGAATAGTAATGGCCAGTTGAATGTTAATCCAAACATCTTGTTAACATTATTCAATTACATTAGACTTCCATTTCTCTACAGTTTGTGACGCACACTTAAAAAGTCAAAATAATTCTGGTGGATTTAATATCACATATGAATACAGCGAAGTACTAGTTCCAAATATATGTGGGTGGGAGGAGGCTGACAAAGAGGGGATATGATATTCTCAGTAATATTCTTGATTAATTACTAAGTTCATGTTCATAAAAGGAATTATTTCTATTTATAACAGAGTTATCATGACCGAAAAAGTGGACATTTTCCAGGAAGCTGCGGCAAATTAAAAGTTTGCAAAAAAAAGTTTAAAAGGTTGCTTGTGTCAAAAGTTAAGCATGTACACACTTTTAAAATTTAGTATAATATCAAGTTGTTTTAAAAGTGCTTGAGATAGATGTGGAACGTACTGTAAACAGATTTATCATTAATTTTATCATTTATTATAAATATTATTCAAAATTAAATTTGAAAACTGAATTTTACCTTCAGGTTTTTTCTTAGATTTCACTCGTCTTCTACCAGGAGATGGTGCATCTAAAGAAAAAGAATTAATAAGTGTAATTATGATATCATAACAATAGCAATGTTTGACATAATATTTGATAGTGTATGTACCAAGGCTTGTACTATAATAACAATTTATCAACCTTTTAACCTTTCAATGGTTGGCAGCATGTAGTCATGCCACATTACAGGTAAATAGACATCACCTCACATTAGATAAAACACATACGCGACACATACTTAGCTCCATGGGGGACTGTATATTCAATAATGTTGAAGATAGTACTTTGACATTCAAAGAACATACTCACTTTACCGAAAGGTCCACTGATTAATCTCTGATAAGATAGTATAATACATACTCCAAGTATCGAAATGCACACCATCGTGTCGAGATTCATTATTTTGACATTAATTATTCCAGATGATGACATAATTAATGTCGAAATATTGAATCCCGACACGATGGCGTGCATTTCGATACTTGGAGTATGTATTTTACTACCTTATACTCACTTACACCCCTAGATCAGTGATTGCGCGGCTAAGGTCGAGAGGAGGCGTGATGTTCCTAAGGACATACATAAGCACAGTAACAACCTATAAAATGACATACGATCATAGGGAACTTTTACAGCGGTTCACTTTAATTCATTTTAAATATACACAACGACTGCATGAATAACAAATTCATCCTCAGATAAATCACAAATATTAACACATTGTTTCTATACCAGAAAAATCAGTAATATAGTGAAGGCAGGAAAACGTAAAATAACAAACAACCCTATTTTATGTTCTTGGCAGCCACTTGTGGTTACATGATACTGGTCATTGATCCTGTTACATTTCCTGTATCGGTCATTAAATGTGCCTTGAGCATCAATTTTGGTGGTGATGTTTGCGCTTTAAAAATCGTTATTATTATTATATTATTATTGGATGTTGAAAAAACAATGTTTTCGTTCCTTAAAACATTGGGGGAAAAGACAAAAAATCATCCGCCATGTGTGTGTGGCATTAGCTCTAGGCTAGGTTTAATGGTATAAGTTAAAACTTTGTAACTGTGGATTAAAAAAAACATGAGCTTTTGACATTGTTACAGTTTTAAATTTATAACACTGAAAATGAAAGTGAATATATAGGGTGTTGTGCTTCCTATTGTAACTATATATTTTCAAGAATTGTGTTAAACAATATGAATCATTCTAAATATGAATGAAATGGGTATTTATATTATAGATTTTTGAATGCTTGTGAGAACATGGGCAACTTTTCCAATTTCTAGGACTCGCTCTTTTTACGAGAGATTTGGACTCTTTAAGATTGCATGTAACTTGTGTTCATAAAGTTTCAGATTTTCTTGTATTGTTTTTTTGTTAGTATTTTGCCTGACTTTTTGAATACTACACAGGCGGATCCAGAGAAAAATATCGGTAGGGATTGGATTGGATTTATTCGGTGTGAACACCAAGAATAGCCCACGAAAGTCTAGAAGAAGACTTATTTCCAGTGGGGTCCTTCTGGTGGTGATTGGGCAGGACACCGGGAGACAATCCCTACTTTTTTCCGAAGAGTGTACTGCGTTCTTTAACGTGCACATGGGCCATAATGCACACGGGACCAATGGTTTAAACGTCTCATCCGAAATATGGCGCGCTATTGTAACTTGTATTTAACACAAGGAGAGGCAGCAATGGGAATTGAACCGGGGACCTAGAGATCTCCACGGTTCAGCGCACACACAGCGGCTACCACCAGATTAGCTGACTGAGCATGAGGGGTCATGTGATGTATAAGGAACCAGTAGGTGGGGAAGGGATGGGGAGATTTTTGTTTAGAAATGCTTTACCATAAACACTAATACATTGAATTATAATTGAAAATTAGCATATTTTGGAGTACAGTGCTCCCCTCTTTCTACAGCTCTACTTATATATAATTAAACAAACTGAAGACATCTGCGATTTACATAGCTGACCAACGAATCATCAAACATAATGCTCAACTAAAGTGAACTCCTGAACTTAACTTTAACTAATAAATCATTTAAAAGGTTTCGAGACTTGCAAAAATTCTGTAGGGAGATGAACAAAAACAATATTCAAATAAATCAAGACACAAATCGATACTGTTCTCAGAAGAAAAAAAATATGGAGACACAGAGCAGCTGAATGCACTTTTCATTCTTAATTTTCCAATTGGGATATGGATACAGGACAGTTAAACAGAATGCACATGGCTGAACAAAGACAAGGTAAATTCCAATGCAAAGATGAATGTTTTCTTCATTTTCCATGTTGTTTCAATAAAGAATGTCATCTTGTTATTCTGTCAAGTGGATTCACACTTGCTGACAGTAATCGGTTTTCCGATATGATACAAGTTCCTTCTACAAATTTACTTTCTAGGAATATTGTTTTTGAACAAAATGTTTTTTTTAGCTCAGAACACAAATAAATGAACAATATTAATGTTTTCACTCCTTACAAATATTGGCCATGTGGGAGGGCATTAGGTCTTGGCCAAGTTTAATGCCAAAATACAAAAAATACAGATTTACAGTTATAACATTGAAGCTTTCCTAGATATGAACCCAAGATTTTAACATTTATAATAGATACAACTTTCAACCAATTTATGAGAGAGCAGCTTAGCTCAGTCGGCCAATCTGGTGGTAGCCACTGTGTGTGCGCTGAACCGTGGCGATCTCTAGGTCCATGGTTCAATTCCCATCGCTGCCTCTCCTTGTATTTCAGCCCTACAGCTGAAATAATAGCGCACCATCTTTCGGATGAGACATTGAAGCCGTTGGTCCCGTGTGCATTGATGGCCCATGTGCACGTTAAAGAACGCAGTACACTCTTCGGAAAAGAGTAGGGGATTGTCTCCCGGTGTACTGCCCAATCACCACCAGAAGGACTCCACTAGAAATAAGTCTTCTTCTAGACTTTCGTGGGCTATCCTTGGTGTTTACACCGAATAAATCAAATCCAATCCAACCTGAGTCATGTGACAATGTGAGTAGTGGGTGAAAATTGTACATGTTTTTGCAATAAAGATACCAAGACACATGATACTTATTCAAGAGTATAATTACTAATTTGTGAGTGTTACTTATTAGATTAACAGGATTATCTATGGTTTGTTACTAATATACCACTGTGTTTGTTACTAATATACCACTGTGTTTGTTACTAATATACCACTGTGTTTGTTACTAATATACCACACACTGTGTTTTAGCATTTAACATTTAAAAAATCTGAAATGCTAAGCTTGGAATTTGTTCTTCTTTGAGCAACATTATAATTTTTGTTCTCTTTTTCCATCATTTCCATTTTTATTTGTGGACTAAATGATGTGGTATAAACCGGGTCAGGGCTGGTTGACATCTTGTGATAGGGGCGCACTGTTCTTATCTTTGCATTTGCATTTTAATTGGTCCATCCTCTTTTACCCTCCTATTTTTTTTTTTTTTGCAAGTTTTATCAGGCTTTATCAGTATGCGTTATACAAGCATAATAAAAAAATATGGTACTATTATTTATGCTATTAGAAAAAATTTTGCTAGGCAATATTATAACAGATTAAAATAATAAAATATCCAAAAAGTTAAAAAAAAAAAAATATTGGATCATGGTGAACATATATTTTCTCCATGATTGGATGGTAATCAATTGAAATATTTTTGCAGTAAAATGTTTGTAATTTAGTGAAACTGAATTGTTTTAATCTGGCAACATGAGCACTTAGAATACCGGTAAATGGGAGTTGTCAAGCCAATACCATCATCAGTGACCAAAACAAGAAAATTGACTTTTTCTTATATTCATATATTCATATATATATACAATACTGCCACATTCTTATGTTAATTACTTCGTTTAATATTTAGCAACAGTACATTGGTTTTGGCATGGCAAGCCTCAAATAGGAAAAACTTAGCCACTGGTAAGAAGGAATTGATCCATCTCACTACTGAGTACATATACGCTCAACGAACAACAACATGCCAGTAAGCAGATGATAATTATGATATCAGACATGTTAAGTTGACCAGTGCAAAAACATAATCACTATTGCATTAGCATGAGCTCCTTAACCACCCGTCTTCAAATATATACAATGTTTTCAAAAAAAGTAAAAAAAAAAGTTATAATATTTCTCTTTTAAATAAAGAATATACTATAATTGTTTGCATTGAGTAAAAATTTCCTAATTCTATATTTGAACACAGTGCTTAATATGAATATTAATGCTTAATAGCAATGAAACAAATGTTCCTGTCTCTTAAGCTCTGTCCACACCATCACACTGTTGTATGCCCATATATAGTCATGAGGTGCCTATATATGGTCATGATGTGATGTCATCATGACCATATTTAGGCATGTCACATGTTTTTGTCAAATAAAATTTGATAGTCTGTACAGGGCTTTATAAAACAGTTATAAAATACCCTTCCTGTATTCTTTTGCATAGATCTTTTAATTGGCTGATAATCAATCAAAAATTTCTATATACTTAATGTCTGTAAATCACCACAAAAATTTTTTTTATCTTTTTCTGCTTAGAAGTTTATAGCTTTTAAATCATCGATTCAAAATTATATATGAATTATATGTTTCCTTTTCCCGGATACTTTTGACAGGAAATATCTGTAAACAAAATAATATTAAAGTTTAGTTTACCATTCTCATTGTTAAGGCCTAGCGGTGGTAAACTTCTTCTCTTAGTTGGCACATCCTGAAATGAATAATACAATTAACAAATATTAGGTCTACACTGTTCCATAAAATTAGTATAAAATACTTTAAATGAAAAACACCAATTTCCAAAATAGATGTTGATTGTAATACCAGGGATTTGTTATAACAACTCTCTGGTAATACGCAAGAGAGTGAGAAACACAACTGCTGGTTGGAGGCATCACGTAGGTGAAAATGGTTTGATTTCCCGACCTCAAGGTTGAGGTATTAATCCTCGCTGCTGTGCATTTCATTTGTGTTCTTGAGCAAGGCACTTAATCTGCTTTGCTTCTCTCCAGCCTGGAGTATAAATGGGTACCTGGTAGAGTTGTCCACTCCTGCACTGATTACAGCAGCAACACGTATTTATGTATGTGAATATAATGACCTGGGCAAAAACCACTATTTATCTGAAAAGAAAGGTGCTATAAAAATAAGCCCCCACAAATGGGTACCTGGTAGAGTTGTCTACTCCTGCACTAATTGCAGCAGCAACACCTATTTATGTATGTGAATATAATGACCTGGGCAAAAACCCCTATATATATGAAAAGAAAGGCGCTATAAAAATAAGCCCCCGCCCCCACAAATGGGTACCTGGTGGTAGAGTTGTCTACTCCTGCACTGATTACAGCAGCAACACCTAATTTATATATGTGAATATAATGACCTGGAGAAAAAATCACTATATATCTGAAAAGAAAGGGCTATAAAAATAAGCCCCCGCCCCCACAAAAAATTAATATCCCTACTAAATCAGGCATTCTGGCTTTTATCTTTAGTATAGCAACTACAATTTATTGGGGACTTCCATAGGCATAGCACTTTGCTCTACATAGTTACCACCATGGCTTAATTAAACGATAAAACTAAATTACTAACGAGCACAAATATTTTAAAACTGAAAAAGAACGCTATATTATTTAAACAAGCCTTAATCCTAAAAAAAAAGAAGCTATTTTTAAGCTTACATAGGTCTAATAGCAAAGATCGTATTTGTTGTCAACTGCTGCTGTATCTTATGTCTAGGCCTAGCGGCACTATCTGCTGCGCGGTGCTCTATTGCTCTATTGCTCAGGCTAGGCTGCTGGAAGTCCCCCAGTGTAAAGTTGCAAGACGCTGGTGGAGCTTTTTCAAAACAGACCCAATAAAATGTGCTACCAGAGAGGATTTCAACAATTTGAATCACACCTTTTTAAGAAGTCAGTTTAAAAGCACCTAATGCTAGCCTAATAATAATATCATAAACAACATAATGTGTTGTTATGGATGGCACGCCACAATGAATTAAAAACCCTGTGGGACTCGAGTACCATTTTTGACTAGAAACTTCTTGCTGTTACAGCCTGAGGATGATAATCTGTAAAAATTAACATTGAAACTGAGCATAAAGCAGTATAATAAGCAGTATGAAGGTTTTTGCAAACACATTGAAAATGTAATTTAACACCATAGGAGGTTGCTTTCGGCCATCAGACTTTTTTCAAACATTGTTCCTCGAATCGCCACCCACTGATAATGATGATTTCAAATAAAAATACAATTTTTGGCTAGACTGTTCACCCGCCACCATGAACTAATGGAAATTTCATTAAAAATACAATTTTTTATTTATTTTTATTGCACTTGCTCCCACCTATAAAATATAAATATATATTAAATTACAATAGGCCTATGCTATCATATTTTGCTTGTCATACTTCATTTACAGTAACTGTAACTCAAATTTGTATGTATACTTAGTTACTGTTCTATGAAAAAAAACCCATTTGAACTGCAAAGTTATTATTAATAGCATAAAATTCTAGACACTTCTCTTTAAAGTAAAACAGTTACCTAACTACCTACTTGTAGTTCTTTAGTATTAAAGTACCGTATATACTGTACTCACGTATAAGGCAACATGTGTATAAGAAGACCACCGAGTTTGAGAAAATATTTGGATGAATTTTGTATATCGGGTTTACTGTATTATAAGACAACCCCCGTTTCACCGTTGAAATTCATACCTTTTGCTGCTTTTTATGGTCTTGATGCTACATCTATCTGGCTAAAAACAGAGCCAAATAGAGGGCTAAACTTCCAAGTAATACCATGATATGAGATTTTAGATGTTCAAAATCTTATCTCCCAGTATTTAAAAATGCGTTCATAGGCTAGGCCTACTATTATTACTAACACTTTAGTAGGTTTACTGCAGTAGTAAATCCCCATAAAAGATGAACATGATTTCAAATATCTAAAATGTATGTCTCGCATATAAATTATTTATAAAACAACCCCATTTTTTAACTTGTAATTTGCTATTTAAGCCTTGCCTTATACGCGAATAGGGCCTATAGGGTACACACGGTACTATATATATTTAATAAAATTTGATACAGCCAGAATAAAATACAGAAATAATAAAAGACTGTAGTAGTCTTTGGGTAGGACTGCCTATCCTAAGAAGGAGTAGGCCTCTAGATTCAAGAAAGTAGGCCTAGGCCTAGCCTAAGTACTACTACTACTAGGCCTAAGCTAAGGCAAAGACTCGAACTAGCTAGGCAAGCCAAGGCATTAGTCTGTAAGAGAGGAGCCTAGACTGGCCTAGAGAGAGCATACATAATTATTATGTATATTATAACTCTGCCTACCCTGGCTATTTATTTATTTGATTTGAGAACGAATTTACATTAACAAAAGTATTTACCATCACGACCAATGGAACATAAATATTATTTACTACGGCAAGAACACATACTTTAAACAGCCTTTAAGTGATTGCCTTTCTGAGGAGGGTACAATACACTTAAAACAAAAATACATTTTTATTATAGCGCCACCAACCCCATGGAGAAGGTGATTTTATTTTATTTTCACAAAAGTATGTCTAATAAAGTTTTACCGTTTCTTTCGCTACAAAACACACGCAATGTGTGGTGCGGGCTTCAGTTGCAGTATACCTATATAATGAAATTTGTTGTGTTTTCAGTTCAGAACTATCACATAGAAAACAAGATCGAAATTATCTTATCAACTGGTGGCGCTTTTCGTTTACAAAAAATCCTATATAACAAGGACGTTCACCTCCAAAGTTGCTTAATTGTGTAGGATGGTTCTGTAACGAAGTTGGTGTGAATTATATAGATAGGGTGTATTTCGCAAGCAGCGATACTTTATAATTACGGACGTAGTAGGCCTTTTTTAATTATTAATAGAAAAACGATGATGGATTACACAATTTGGAGATACATTCTTTTGATTTTTGTATGGTTTAGAGTATCAGTGTCCCAAGAAGGTAAGAAGGAGATTTGTTGTACTATTGCTTAATTCCTAATCATCTAAAATAATGTTGAACTAGCCCTAGGCCTAGACCTACCACCACTACATCATCCCAGTACTGTGGCATTCGTACGTACCAACTACCTTCCAGGCCCAGGTACACCAACATGTCTATCTTAAAGGGCATGGAGAATGCCGTGGGATCATAAACACATGACACCGACGTTTTTGAATAATAACAAGTGACTAGGCCTACCTAGCGTTGGCTAGCTAGGCTAAAAAGTAACTTTAAATGATTTTTATGTGGTTTATTTACTTACTGTGTCTGTGAATCAGGGATGGTGAGATGATTTTGAGATTTTCGATCTATTTTCAATTTAATTTTAGTCAGATCCAGTATTTCACAAATGGAGAAGTTGCATGTTGTTACACCTTTGATTTGTTTTCTAGTGAAATGTGTTACAATGTGAATGATGAAAGCTCATTCATTGCCATTGGATTGGGTAGGCCTAATGCTTTGCACGTAAAATTTGTTTATGTTACATGTTTACAGTTTACTCACAAGATGGTAGCATTATCGTCGTTAGACTTTAGTCGGGCACTCACTGCATTGTACGACGGCCCGACCTTCGGCCACGAATCCAACTCCGCTCCCTGTGAGAGTTAGATAATTGACTCCGTCTGCTGATTGGATTGGATTGGATTGGATTGGATTTATTCGGTGTAAACACCAAGAATAGCCCACGAAAGTCTAGAAGAAGACTTGTTTCCAGTGGGGTCCTTCTGGTGGTGATTGGACAATACACCGGGAGACAATCCCCTACTCTTTTCCGAAGAGTGTACTGTGTTCTTTAACGTGCACATGGGCCATAAATGCACACAGGACCAACGGCTTAAACGTCTCATCCAAAAGACGGTGCGCTATGTAACTTGTATTTCAGCTCTCTAGCTGAAACACAAGGAGAGTCAGTGATGGGAATTGAACTGGGGACCTAGAGATCTCCGCGGTTCAGCACACACACAGTGGCTACCACCAGATTAGCCGACTGAGCTAAGTTGCTCTCTGTCGTTGGCAGTCTGAATGGATCGTCATTAAAAACGATCCATTACGCTCGCATTGTGCAGTTGACTTGTGTGCAGCGAGTGACCAGCTTTGGGATAACATGTGTGCACAGGGACGCAGCCAGGGTGGAATGGGAAAGGGTAGGACACATTGCCTGTGGGACCGCCTAGGGCCCCAGCAAGGACAAGGGGCTGTGCCGCAGTGGGGGGTACGGGTGGGTGTGGTATGATGCCTACCTGATCATTTACTGGTCTAATACACTCCTATAATCAACCATGCCACCATAGCATTGGGGTAACTCTATTTTTCCGAAAAAAATGCAGTGGGTTCAGATATTTAGTGCATACAAGCTGAGTATGTGTAAACACTGGATTTCCGTTGAAAGTCCTTATCCGAGAAGGTGGCTCTACCAACCTAACACTGGGTGAGGAGAGATTTGAATCAATGTTAATGATATAATTAGTGGTGCCCACCCTCTCTTACCGCTCGGCCACTCTAACTAAAAATTTCCATCTTAAGCTTTCATGGGAATAGGGATTTAGTTCTGCGTTCTGGAATTTAGGTCTGCATTTTCACTTCTTGCAATCTCCCAGCCCAGGCTGCAAACCAGGCCTGGGTTTCAAGGTTATTATCCCAATAAAATACAAGTCACATTTTTAGTGTAGAAACAGTTGTCATAGTTATTAATTCTTTATGGTAATAATATTTTATTTGAAATTACACTTTTTTAGCAATTGGCACACAACTGCAGCACGTGGACTGTGCATCCAAATACAAATTAAAAATAAATCACATCACAGTTAGTAACTTTCGTATGAAGAATGTCCAAGAAAACAACTGGGATCCCCAGCCAAACAGCATACTTTTTACAGCGAGTTTAAGCCAATAATCGAGGCAAGGTTCTAGTACTGTACAGTCGGTAGTTTAAAGTTTGTAAACTTTATCCCAGTATAATAAGCCCAGGGTATAATCATCTATTGAGTGCAGCTGGATGGTACAGAAGTCCTTGACATTAAAAATCTAGGCACGGCTATTCCATCATAAAAAATGTCTTAATTTGGAGTCTGCATTGCCTATAGGCCCTTGACTAAGTACCAGTGACCATGATCTTGAATGGAGAAGTGTGTGAACATTTTCAATGATTATGACACCTAAAGTACATACAGTTAGGTGCTTAAAACGGCACCTTCCATTGATTGTTAAAGGTTACTTTTTTCAGCCAATTGCAATTCCATTTATTCCACATCAAAAAAATCTTTTTGCTTTACTATACAGGTACTTGCAATAATACAAAGTCATTATCAGTGACGCCTTCTTGGGCTATACTCTTCTTTATTGTACATTCTTTACAATACTTATTCTGCATTACTTCTAAATACTTTGTTGCCACAAAACTGAAAGTGATAGTGTTAAAGTGTTCAAAAGAATTATCAAAAACCAGGAAGTCAAGATTGCATCACAATAGAAAACTTTGTACTACAGTAGTAGTAAAATACTAATAAGCCCTAATTATTTGTTTTTTTAAAAATTAAAATGGAGTGATAAAAAATTAAACGATTCTGAAAGCAATGCAGTGTAGCGTAGGAGTGCTGAAAGCAATGCAGTGTAGGAGTGCGTATCAGGGGGAAAGGTGCATGGGATGCTTCCCTTCCTCCAAATACTACTCCACCCCTGCTAGTCACTCCCAAAAATCATGTTCAAGTAGTTAAAAATCACCTCAAATCACCTTACCATCACCACCTATCACCTTGTCATTTTTTATTGATTCTGAAAGGTTAGTTTTAATCAATTAAACAGTCAACGAAAAAAAAAAAACAAACAAACCAGGCAATTATTCAATTAATTCAAATCATCAAAGCAAGCCTATATATATATTAGCCCATAGCTATTATAATGTAGGTCTTAGTATTTTAGTAATGAATTTTTTTATTTTATTTAATTGTTATCTAATGGACATGTACAGTAATGTACAATTTTGATTAGTGTAGGGAATGTGGGAATAAACAGTACTTGGGCGAATAGCCAAGGGAAAATCATAGATTACCATTTCTTAATTCGTATTCTGTCTAACAACAAAACAGGATATACAGTAATTGATTGCATTCTCCTAATCTTTAACCAATTATAAATAGAAAGGATTTATTATTTATGAAACTAGATGTTTTTTTTTTAAGTTATTAAATTTTACTACTTTGAACTTTTAGATTTCATCATCATGTATTTCCTCATGACAAATTTATGATGGTTATTACAGATAACTGAAATTCTTGAAAATGAGAAGTTTCTTCTCCTGGACTCCCTTGCAAATTGGTCAATATTGGATAATTCTGAATTAGTTTGTTTTGAGCAGATTTGGTACCAAGTGTCCAGTTCCATGGGTTTTTTTTTCTTCTTCTTATTCTGTGAACATCCCCATTTAAAACACTGTTAAAATAAATACTTTATCAACATTATTTGATACATTTAATTTTAATCATTAATGTATTGAGCAATTACCCGCAAACCAATCTCCATCATTAAATGCTGAGTTGGGTTGGTTTTTAATAAGAATAAATTAATCAATCAACAAGGATTTGTAAAGCGCCAATATCCATGTCAGAATGCAATGTTCAGTGGCGCTACAACGAAAAAATGCACTTAATGAGATTACTCGGATAAATAAAAGTTTATAAAATATGTTTATGAATAAGCACGTTATATTTTCATTGCGGATTTTTTGAGCTCAGTACGGACTCCAAAAGTATGCATTTTCTTTTAGTTTTAAGGCGTATGCGGATGGCGATATAACATGTTATGTTAATATCCTAAAACTTTGCATGCATATTGTATGTCTTTTCATTTTGGCTAGTAAGTTGGATCAGAATGATTGAACCTAAACTTACTGTAGTTTTTTTCATTAAATTGCTTGACAATATACTTGACAATATTGCTTGACAATATACCAAGCTTTGGTACAGTATCTGGTTCGAATCAAAGTCTTTAGTTATTAACTGTCTGAACATTTAAATGATCTCAGAATTGGGATTTAAAATGAAATAGCCAGGTTACATAGGAAAGATGTAAAGTGGTCTTTAAAATGTAGTAATTTTCTACCCTGGCTTTGTAGCCTATACTACTCAGTCTTAGAATTTGATAGTAACCATGAGTGTTTGGGGCAGTTCTCAGAAACTTGCTTCAGATCACTAGATGTAAGTGTTTGATATTCCATATTATGATAGCAGATTAAACAAACGTCCTCCCAAATGCTTCCCTTAAGAATGACAATTGATTTATTAAACAGTACATAAAAATCAGTGACACACATTTCTTTGACGGTGCATCTATACAATTATGAGTGTGAAACTAGTCTTTATCATAAAAACAACCATGCAAATCCATAAAGCAAAATATTATGTTTATAATAAATAATAATATTTATACTTAAACTTCATTCCTAAAGGCAACCAAATGTAGGCCGAAACATTGAGAATCATGGCCTTTATTTAGAGAGGTATCAGTACTGTTACTTGAGTAAGCAATATAATATAAGCCAATTTGTGTTTTCACTTAATGCATAGGCTGTTTAAACAATACAAGGCATACAAAAACATTTAGCCTATTTCGCATGCTTTAAAGTGTACTGTATAGTACTACACATAAACAGGACTTGATTTGGCAGAGAGAATCGAAGTAAGAAAGTCAAAATTGTCTTAGCTCACTGATAAGCCTATTATAGTACTGACAGTATTGTACTCATGTTAAATGATTTTTAAATTTATATTCAAGACCAGTGAAAGGTGAAACAAGTGTTATTATTCCCCTTCTTTTCATCTTAAATTTGTTAACTGCACAAACATATCTCTTAAAACAGTGGCGTATCTACAATAGGGGTGCGAACTCCGAAGGGGGAGTTTTCTACCAAAAAAAAAGCTTTTGCTCCCTAGTCACCCCCAATTAACAATGTTTGATACAAA